CGTTCTCGCCACATTGGCACTGATCGCTGTCGTGGCATGGAGGCGGATGGGAGGTGAAGAGCACGCGTTTCGAGCGCCCACGCGCTTATAAGCAGCCGCATGGTCGATGTGAGACAGGGCGCCAGCACAGCTCATGCGCCCCGCCCCCTCCCTCGACCAGGGGCCTTGCCGCCCTCGCCGCCCTTGCCGCCCTTGCTGTCACCCTTGCTGCCCTTGCCGCCCTTGTCGCGGTTGGCGGCGCCGTCGCCGCTGCCGACTGCGCCACCCGCGCCGTCGCCGCTGCCCTGGAGCGGACCCAGAATGAGCTGGCCCTCTTTGATGTCCTTCACGTTGGCCCACGTAGGGGAGCTCACTGCCTTGCCCACGATTGAAATTTCAGTCGAGCGAAGCTCGACGTTGTGGGCTCCCGCGTGGACCAGCTGTACATGCCAGAATGGGGTCGACGAGAACTTTTCCTCGTCGGGGCGGTCACGCTGTTTCCTAAGCGTGGCCGCGTGCGTGGTGCCGTCCAGATCAAGCACGGACGGCAGCACGACAGATGCAACGAAGTCTCCGCCAACGGAGATTCGCATGTCGGGCGAGTTGCTCTTGTCGACGCTGATCCTGTCATACGCAGCAACGATCTGCAGCTCGCCGATCTTGAAGGAGGTCTTCGCAATCAAGTTCACCTTGCTACTATCCTGGGCTATACGGGTGGCGTGACGTCACTGCATCTGTCTGTGTCGCATGCAGAGCTTAGCTCGCATTGGGGCGGGATCGGGGGGCCATATAAGTCGTGAGTGCGAGCGTCGCTCGCGAGTTTGCTACGCCGCGGGGCCTCCTGCTGTATGTACGCCAACTTTCCCCCACCGAAGATCTTGACGTCTTCGATGGCGGTGAGTGCGACACGCAGGCGCGCCTTCGTGCCCTCGATCGCCGCATCCTTATTCCCACGCCGAAACTTGTCGAGCTGCGCGCAATCGGCAACCTGGCACGCACGCATCATTCACATCCTCGCCACCCCGCCCCCTCCCACCCACCAAGCAACCACTGCCAAGACAATGCGACCCTGTCGGCGAGCAAAGCTCGAATTGCTGGGTCTATGCAACGATTTACAAAAACGAAACCTTGGGTTCGCTTTTCACGACCGCAGTGTAGCCGTCGAGGACCTCGCTCATCTTCAGCATGATGACATCATCAGACGAACCACGTACGTGGACCGTCTGATCATCGATGGCAGTGGTCACGTAGCTGGTCACCTCCGTATCTCTACGCTTGTCGACGGCGGCGATGGTTGCGCCAACCACGAAACCCTTGGCCTGAAAGGTCAGCGGGTCGACGTCGCCACCGCCAGATAATGACACGTGCGCCATCCCCAAAGCCTTGCTGGGGGGCGCAAGCTTGGCCTTCTTCGGCGCACGGGCGTCGACCTCATCGTCGCCGACGCCTGTCTCGATGTCGAGCCGCGGCAACGGCACGTTGCGCACATGCAGCTCGTCGGCGTTCATGGCCTCCCAGAAGTCGGCCACCACGTCGACCATAGAGGTGTACTGTTTGCGCCCTTCGCACGTCTTGCCCAGCACCTGGGCTTACTACGCGCGCGCGTGCGCAAGCGAGCATCGCTCGTCATCGGTCGCTTCCTGGCGAGCATCGTTCTCGCCCCCGCCCACCGCTTCCCAGCGAGCATCGCTCGTCGCCCCCCGCCCCAGTACCATCATGACCAGGCGGATGTCGAGCTGCGACAGGTGCTTAAGCCTGACGAGCTCGCTGGTGTGCGTGTAGGCCGTCGTGAACTGCCTGCGCGCATGCATGATGTTGGCCGCTCGCACGGCCTTGCTCCTGTTCTTGCCGCCAGGGGACATGGACTTGTAGTCAGATGCGTTCAAGAGCGTGCTCTCGCCGCCTGGCGTCGCCCACTTAGGGGGCGACGCCAATTGCGCCTCGATCACCGCCAATATCCACAGCGGGCCCTCCGCGAACTGCAGCTGGCTGAGCGCCTGGAGGCCGTCAGCCGCGATGGTGCGCTTTGTGCTGAGGGACCGCTCGAACTGCTCGAGGACGTCGAGCATGGCCCCCTCTTTCCCACCACTCCACGCTCTGACGAAAGCGATGTCCGCACTGTCCCGCCATGGCGGTGATGAGTCAGTCGTGCAAGGCACGCATCTTCCTCGCCCCCCCGCCCCCCACCCCCCTGTCGCACTCGTGCCTGCCATCCTGTGCCCTCGTCCCGAGGCGGCGAGTGCGCTCGCCATGGGCGGTGACGATCGTGGCGTGAGCCGATTGTCTAGCACGGCAGCTCCCTCTCGAACTCGCTCGGCATGCCGAGCGCCGCGACGCGCTCCACCTTGGCCCAGTCGTCGGCGGTGTCGAGGCTCGTCTGCGCGCGAGCGATGAGCCACACCTTTTTCACTCGCTGCACCGTCGTGGCAACGCGTGCCGCGCCGTGGTCCGCGTTGCCAGACTGCGCCAGGAGCTTCATGAGCTCGGGCCACCGCGTCACCAACAACGAGCTGATGACGCTGTACCGCAAGCCGCGCTCGAGTGGCTCTTTGAACGACGGCTGTCGCTCACATATGCGAGCCATCGAGATGCGGCCAGACGCGTCCGAGATGTCCGCGTTCATGGACCGCGCCGCGCCGTGGATGCAGCGCAGCGTGGCCGTGGTGTGCGAGCATCGCACCGTGGCGATCTGAAGCTCGCTGGGATCCTCGATGGGGGGCAGCAGGGAGTCCGACCCCACCGCCAACTTCACGTTGAAGTCGCGGATCGTGGTGTCGCCGTTAGGGATCCGCAAACCCGCTGTGAGCAGGTTTGCACGCTTGCCGATCCGATCTTGCGAGATGACGCTCGCAATAGCGCGCAAGGCACGCATGTCTCGCTTGCGCCAATCGTGCTGCACGAAACACGGACGCGTGTCTTGACAGCTATGGGGGAATGGCGCAAGCCGAATGGCTCTCGCACGCGAGCGCCTTCGACGTCTCGTCGTCGTCCCAGCCCTTCACCACCAGGATGCCGAGGAGGTCGTGCACGTCGTATGGGGCGAGGCCCGCGCCGTCCCTGTTGTCAGGGTGCACGGCCGCCTTTGTCGCGTGGACGTGCTTCGACTCGCAGAGGTCGAGGGCCTTGATTGCGCTCAGGATCCGAGCCTGGAACGCACTGACGCCCTCGACCTCGTTGCCGAGGTAAAACGACTCGATCTGCTCGTTGATGAGCGGCGCCAGCGCGATAACGCGCTCCTCCTTCGAGCGCTTGGACCTCACGCCAGCTACACTGGCCTTAGTTACACATGTGCGCGTCGCGTGACACTCGAGAGCAAAGCTCGCCATTGGATTATGCGAGCATGCTCGCCAACATTGCAACGCCACAACAACATACCGCATCACGCGAGCAAAGCTCACCGCGGATTCTGCGAGCATGCTCGCCAACATTGCAACGCCATATACCGCGTCACGCGAGCAAAGCTCACCGCGGAAACTAAGGCGGATACCTCCCACGCGGCCTTGACTGCGACGTTCGACAGCGCCATATAGATCGCGACGCGACTGCTACAGCTCGGGCATGGGCGGCAAGGGCGGCAAAGGCTGCGGCACTCGGACCAACACTGCTACAAAATAACAGAAAACAGAAAACTGAAAACTGCATTTGGGAAAAAAAAATACAAAATAAGCAGAACACAGAAACTGAAATTGGGAAAGAACTCTGTTTGAAAACACAGAAAACATACAACTGAAATCGGAAAAACGAATCAAAAGCCTGAAAAGTGTTTTGGCGATGTTGTAAGTTAGATTATGATAGTTATCGAATAGTTTGCTGCATGTTGAGGTCGGATAGTTATAGGATAGTTTATGGATAATTGCGCAAACTATTCATAAACTATCCTATGACTATTCTACATGTATTCGTAAACTATTCATAATATGCTCGATATCTATTCTGAGATAGTTTGAGGCGGGCCTCAAAGTACCGGCCCTACCGGCCCCACCGGCCCTACGGGCCCTACCGGCCGCCGCGCGGTCACGTTCAGTCTCTGTTCTTGTTTCTGGGTCTCCTGGGGGGGGCTAATCTAACACGGCCCGTCCTTTGATCGATCTCCTCCAAGGTGGCCCGAAGATAGCCCCCGAGGCTCACAAGGGTGCCCCAAGAGGTCCCCAAGACGCCCACAAGATGCCCCCCAAGAGGCCACAAGAGGCCCCCCAGAGGTACCCAAGACGCCCGGGAGGCCCCGGGAACTGCCAAGAAACCTCCAAGACGCACCAAGGGGTCTCCAAGAAGCTCTCGAAAAACATGCGAGAAGCTCCTCAGGCATTTCCGCTCGCCATCCTCCTCCTACTCTTCCTGCTCTTCCTCATCCGCCTATTCATCCTCTTTACTCCTCCTTCCTCCTCCACTCTCCCCCTGCTCCGCTCCCTACTCCTCCTCCCTCCTCCCCCTCCCCATCTCCCTCCTCGTCCTCGTCCTCGTCCTCCTCCTCGTCCTCCTCCTCCTCCTGATCCTCTTCCTCCTCCTCCTCCTCCTCCTCCTCCTCCTCCTCCTGCTCATCGGATTCCTCCTCCATCCTCTTTCTCTTGGGGTATGACGTTTAACCCAGCCCTTTATTACACTGCATGCTCCTGCACATCCCTGATCAGGGCAACTCGCCTGGGCATCGTTTCTGGATGAGCTGGTGGGGTTATGCGAAGCGACTAGAATTAACTTTCAGGGTTGCGGCCCCATGCCTGCCCAAAGTGGGGCCAGCATCACATTTCGCGCATTCCCCCCCCAAAAAACACAACACAGGCGCATTTCGCCTCCAGGGCAAGCCCCGCGAAAACGCCAGAGCTATGCGAGTACCGTGTGATTTTGGAGGACGTGGGTCCATCGGCCGCGAAAGGTGGCGGCAGCACCACACTGCTTCCCAGATCCTGAGAGGGACTACTAGCATCATCCCACGCATCCTGAATGCGGCGTTTCCTTTCTCAGAGCATCCTCCTATCCTGTCATCCTTGTCCTCCTCATCTGTCCCTTCTCCCCTGTAGTTTTTACTCCGATTCGACACGCCGCCCCTCCAATAACATGGTTTCCACGAGCCCCACTCAAAGAACCTGCCATTCCTCGCGTACAGTGCCCTCCCTACTTTACGAGCCCACACCAGCACGCTCCCCCCTCCAGGGATGCCGCCTAGGAACGCGGCACCTCTCCGTACACCTGTTCAGTCATCGCGCCTGGTGCCCATGCTATTCCACGACCCTCTCAGACTCCACGCTTCCCCCTCCAGGAAAGCCGCGTGGGAGCGCGACACATACCTGGATGCTACCGAAAGGCCCCCAAGAGTCGAACAAGAGGCCCAAAAGGGCCACCCCAATAATCATCGTGATAACAGCTCAATGCCACAGCTGCGCCACCCCACGCGCGGTGGTGAATATACGCGTCAGCGCAACTGGATCCTTCAAGCGTTGTATCAGACCAGCACGCTTACCGCCTCCTGATTGCTCATGCATTGCGCTGCCACCCCTCCATTTCATGTCAAACTCCTGGGTCCACTCGCAAACCTCAAGACAAGCGCGGCCGACTTTGCAATGCTTAAACACAAATGTGCGACGATTGTCAATCGACCAGAACGCACCAGAACGCCATGCAACTCTCACCACAGGAATATCACGCTGCTCCACATCGCCTCGCAACAATGCGTTAACCATGTCAAGCACGGGCCTCATTTCGTGCGAAAAACTGTCGTGGACATGGCTCTGTGTGAAGAGCACATCATCCATATCTATTAAGCGCAATCCCAAAGGCTTGGCACAAGAGGGATCATCCACATCATATGCCCAAGGAGGAGAAGCACGCTGCTCAGCAACCATTTGCTGAATAGATGGCGACACCTGAGGCTCGCTCATCGGATCAACAATCTGAGCGACTTGATTGTGTCCTCGCTGAGTTCCTCAATACTGCTACGATCGCAGAACGCGCCTCCGTAGATTGAGCGAGGGTGGATTGAGCGTAAAAGAGCTGAACCAAAGCGGCAGTGAAAGTAAATGCCTACGGAATCCCAGCACGTGTGAACTGCTGAAGACCGCAAGCTCACTATGTCCGTACCTGGCGGTAGTCCTGAGAATAGACGCCCTGGAGGCCCAGACAGCAGCCCAGTCTTGAAATCCCACCAGCCAGGGAGTTTCCTCTTCCAACCCCTTTTCTTCCCCTTCGGGGAGGGGTTGATCACTGCGCCTTATTAATATACACCCCCTCCCCCAGGCGACCGGGGGCCAACCAGGCACCATGCCGACACCACGCCCACCCGCCCCCCACCATCCCTTTCAAAAACAATGCAAGCCACACTCTGCCTCCACATGTGGAGCATGCGCGGCCAACCCGATGCGGCCCCCCCACCATCCCTGACAAAATCCATGCAAAGTACACTTTGGGGCAAAGTCTTGAGTCATGTTCGTGAGGCCCGCGAGCACTTCGTTTCGTGTTTGACAAGGACGGCGGGGGTGTCAGCATATTCCCTGCTGCGCGCAGGGCTACCATCCCTGACAAACAACAAAAAAACAATACAACATGCATCTCGCGGCTAAATCTGGATCATGCGCGGCCATCCCGCGATCACTGTCACGTGGTTTTTGACAGGGACGGCGGGGGTGGTGACGCGTGGTCTGCTGTGCGCAGGCCTAGCAGACACAATGATGGGCATCGGTTTTCGACAAGGATGGCGGGGGCCGACATGTTTCCCGATGTGTGCTGTCACGTGCGCAGGCGCACCTGACGCACTCTGCACGTGCCCCGAACGCAGTGCACCTGGCGCGGCTGGCGTGCGCGGCACACCTGGCGCACTCGGAGCACGTGGCGCATCTGGCGCACCAGGCGTGCCTGGCACGCTCGAGCCCCAGGGGTGCCTGGCGCGCGTGGCGCCCCTGACACGCGTGGCGCACCTCGCCCAAACGTCGCGCACCTGGGGTTGGCTTTGGCTCCCAGAAGCCATCCATCTAAAGACGACCGCTGAACATGCTCAGGCTCGGGTGTTACTTATGTGTAGGGAGAGCGGGTGGGAGTGAGCCAGACGGCTTGCGGGCGGGGAGGGAGTCTTGACCCCTCCCCCTACCCCCTCCCCCTGGACCTGGACCGGGCGTTTCGCGACGCGTTGGCGCGTCCAAGATGGCCCAAGATGGCTCCAAGAGGGCCTCAGAGAGCCCAAGATAGCCTCCAAGATGGCTCAAGATAGCGCAAGATCGCTCAAGATGGCTCCAAAAATGACCCAAGAGGCCCCTAAGACCGCCCCACAACGGCTCCAAGTGGCCAAAGAGCTCCCCAAGGGAGGCCCCGAAGAAGCCAAAATCCTCCCAAAACCTGAGGAAGATTCATGCGTTTGCCTTCTCGCCTTTTCGCTTCCGCTGGCCTTCCGAGGCCTCAGTACAATTCCAAGAGGGCCCATGAGGGCCCCAAGGGAGGCCCAAGAGAGACCCAAGACGGTATCAAGAGCGCTCCAAGATCGCCTCACGAGGGGCCCACGAGGTGATTTTTGGGGCTCCCGAGGGAGGGCGCTAATTAAGAAAGGACCTCCCCGTATTTGATTGATATCCTGCAAGATGGCCCCAAGAGCGCCCCTAAAGCTCCCAAGAGCGCCCCAAGAGGGCCCCAAGAGGCGCCCAGACGGCCCCACGAGGCCTCCAAGACGCTCCCAAGAGACCCCCAAGAGGCCCCCAAAAGGCTTCAAGAGGATCCCCGAGGCACCCAAGATGCCCCCCAGAAGCTCCAAGCCCCCCCCGAGGCGCCCAAGACGCCCAAGAGCCCCCCAAGACCGCCGAGAGACCCCAAGAAGTCTCAAGAGGCCACCAAGAAGCGCCCAAACGATATCCCAAAAGGCTCCGAGGTATCCACGAGACCTATGGCCCATTTGCTCGCCCTCCTCCTCCTGCTCCTCCCTCCTACTCCTTCTCCTTCTCCTCCTCCTCCTCCTCCTCCTCCTCCTCATCATCATCATCATCATCAGCAGCAGCATCATCATCGTCATCATCATCATCATCATCATCATCATCATCAGCAGCAGCAGCAGCAGCAGCATCATCATGTTCATCTTTCTTCTCCCCACTCCCTCATCCATCCAACCAGCCTCCTTCTTCTCCTCCTCCCTCCTTCGCATGGTTCGGCCGTCCACCTCTTTGCTTCCGCACTTCCCTGATCACCTCAACTCGCCTGGACAACGTTTCTGGATAGGCTAGTGGGCATACGCGAAGCGTCTAGAATTTGCAGGGCGTCAACCCGCAACCGTGGTGTATATACCATAAAAGGGTGACTGGTCTAAGTGCTTAGGCCAGCGCAAAATTTGATCCACAACCATCCCGAGGTGGATAAAAGCTTGCATACGTACAGGGCAAATGTTCAGAGGACGCCGCATGCGAAAAGGTCTGGGCCTCCTGAATCCACAGGGGACCCTCGCTCTGGGGCAGAGTCGCGCGGGCGGGAGAAGAGAAAGTAGCAGCAATACCGGTCGATTGACAAAATGAGCACACTGCTGCTAGCCGACGTCTTGCAGAGTAGCAGCGCTGATTCTAAAACTAATCGTGTTTCCCAGGTTGGTTTGCATGATAACAAGGCGCTCTTCGTCTCTCGGCGAGGCGCCATTGCTGGAGGCCACCTTGGCCCAACGACGACCCATCCTCCCCGTGTTCCTCATGCGTGGCATGCCCTGGAGCCCTACGAAGGCCACGTTGGGGCCATGACGGCAGTGCACCAAGTGGAAGCACTGACAAACAATTCAACACAACTCCGATTCGATTTGAAGTAAGCCGTACGCAAGCCCACAAACAAGAGAGGCGTAAACATGTCGCTTACCAAGAGTGGTAACGATCGTACCTCCCTCTGGCGATCAACTGCATCCAGAAGACTGGCATGACGAGTGCACGATCGCGTCGGTCAGAGGCAAGATCTAAGACCACAAACCAGAGCACGACCAGCTGCACGATCAATGGAGACAGGGAGGCTCGGCGCTGAGGAGTCCGAGGTGCCAGAGAGGACGGTCCAGCCCCCCAGCGCAAACGGCCAGTCGCGACTAGTCGGGGCTTCGCCACGGCCAAACGCACTCGTCGCGCTCCTATCGAGCGGCTGGTCGGGCTAGTCGGAGATGTTCGCGGCCAGCCGAGCTCTTGGCAAGCCACGGCAGGCAGCCAGCCGGAGCCTCTCTGGGCCCGTCGCGGCCACGCCGAGCACGAGGCGAGCCAGGGCGAGGCGACAAGCCAGGGCCAGTCGGAGCAAGTCGGGGCCTCCCGAGCTACCCGTCGGTCGGAAGAAGTGGGCAGAAGCATGAAGTAGGAAGGAAGGAAGGAAGGAAGGAAGGAAGGAAGGAAGTCAAGCCATACGCTGGAGCGCGTGGGCGAAAAGAGACGATGCCGGCCTGTAGGAAGGCGCTGGAAGTAGACTGGGCCTCCGCCCGCCCCCTGAAGAGGAGGGAAGAGGGGGCAATACCACTCGACAATTGTAGCAGGAAGGCGCCCAAAATAGACTGGGAACTGGGAACCCAAAAATGCCTACTTTCACGACCGACGGGCACTGGCGTTCCAAGGAGGAGGAGGAGGAGGAGGAGGAGCAGGAGGAGGAGGAGCAGGAGGAGGAGGAGGAGGAGTAGGAGGATGGAGGAGGTGGAGGTGGAGGAGAAGGACGAGGAGAAGCAGGAGGAGGAAGAAGGAGGAGGAGCAGGAGGAGGAGGAGCTGGAGGGAGGAGGAGGAGGAGGAGGAGAGGAGGAGGTGGAGGAGGGAGGGAGGAGAAGGAGGAGAGCAGGAGGAGGAGGAGGAGGAGCAGGAGGAGGTGGAGGAGGTGGAGGAGAAGGAGGAGGAGGAGGAGGAGCTGGAAGAGGAGGAGGAGGGCCTGCGGCCGGGCCGCGTCGTCCACGCGGAGCCCGCCGAGCCGCGAGAGAGATAGAGAGAGAGAGAGTACGCCCGGGCGGCGCCCAGGGCGTGGGCACGGCGGCAGGCCCTCCAGCGCGACGCTCGCGGGCATCGGGGCGGCGTTCGAGGCTGCAGCTGCGGCCATCACTTCGGAGTTTCCGCGTGGCGAGTACGCAGCAGCAGGAGGAGGGAGGAGGAAGGAGTGAACCGAAGCGAAGCGAAGCGCCTGAGTCGTCCACTGGGGAGCCCACCCGTGCCCAGTAGGGCATGGTGAAGAGGCCGTGGCCTAAATGAAAGGTTTACACCTGCCCGTCGCTTCGGCGAGGCACGCCTGCCGAGAAACGACTCACGTCACCTGGCCCGCGACCTTGTGGAGCTCATCAAGCTTAGAATGTCGAGGAAGGAGAAGGGAGGAGCAGCAAGGGGAGAGGAGGGAGGAGGGAGGAGGGGGGAGGGTGAAGGGAGGGGGGAAGCGAGGGGGAAGGGAGGGAGGAGGGAGGAGGGAGCAGCGAGGGGGAAGGGGGGAGGGAGGAGGGAGGAGGGATGGGGGAAGGAGGGAGAGAGGGAGGGAGAGAGGAGGGGGAGGCTTCCTTTAGCAAAGGGGCGAGGGGGGGGGGGGGGGGGGGGGGAGGGGGGAGCAAGGGGGAGGGAGAAAGAGAAAGGGGAGAAAGGGGAGGGAGGACGAGAAGGGAGGGCTCGAGAGGCTTCAAAGGATAGGAGGCGAGGGTTTGAGAGGAGGGGGTTTGAGGATGAGGAGGATGGGGTTTGGGAGGGAGGGAGGATAAGGAGGAGAGGGTTTGAAATCAGAGGCTTGAGGATGAGGAGGAGGCTCCAGGGGGTCTCGGGAGGTCTTTGGTGTCTAGGGGTTCCGCTCCGATGGGGGAGTTGGGGAGGAGGCGCAGGAGGGGGAGGAGGGGCAAAAAAAAATACAGGGGAGAGGATGGAGGATGGAGGGGGGGGGGGGGCCACTTTGGGTCTCGGGAGCCTCGCGGGTGGCTCCCGCGCGCAGAGACGGCTCGTTGCCTGGTGCCCGCGCCCCAAATGATCGGAACCCGGGGTGACGCGAGATCACCCCGGAGTCTGACCCTCGGGCCGGAAATCACTTTGGGGCCGACGACCGCCGCCGCTCCACGTGCTCGAGAGTCCTCCTCCGCGCATGGCAGCCCATCGCTGCGGAGAGAGAGAGAGGGAGAGAGGGAGAAAGAGAGAGAGAGACAGGGAGAGAGAAGAAGAGAGAGAGCGGTGATGATGGCGACGAAAACTCCAGCCAGCGCCATACACAAGCAAATACCATCTCAACCCCAGAGAACATGAACATAACATCGTAGGTCGAGGAACACCTCTGGACACCTCTCCTGTCTGGAAGAGGGGCACCGTGCTTTCTTGTTCTGACACTTTCGCTCGGTATCCCTTCTCTTGATGCTGCGGTTCCTCCTCCTCCCCCTCCTCCTCCTGCTGCTCCTCCCCCTCCTCATCATCACCAACATATTGCTCCTGGCACGGGCTATGGAAGGGGGAAACGGTGACGCGATGGCAGCGGCAGCGATAGTGCCCGAAAGAGAGGCGTTCGCAAACCCCGATGGAGGAGGACTGGGCACATGGCAAACTTTATCCCGCGAGCGTCGAATCGCCAGATCACATCTCCTCTAACGGGCGAGTGATTTATCAGCAAATGATATCGCGTTCACAGGACCAAGACGGGTTGACTTGGCAACCCGCGGCCTCACCACTTTCGTTCGGTGGTCCCCGTCACCACCGCGAACTAAGCACCCTCTCCCTGGCCTCGACACTTCCTTGCTTCCCAGCCTCACTCAAGTGAAGTGCTCGTTCTAGGGATTTCCTGGAGCTAATCGCTCCACCCCCGCGTCGACGCTGCCTCGAACCTCCGTCCACCTGAATCTAACTCGAGTCGAACTCGAGTCGAACTCGAGTCAAACTCAAGTCGAGCTAGTCGAACTGGAGCCGAAGTAGATTCGAACAGATCCGATAGGCGGCTCTCAGGAGGGTCCCGAAAACGAACACCTCCTCCAAAGGGTCCTGAGAGAAGAGCTCTACAGGGTAAGGGCGCGCCTCACCAACGAGTCTGTAGCCTGCGCGGGGAGGACTGGTTCGCGACCAGCCCAGGGAAGCCAGAGCGGCTGCTGCATTGGCGAGAACTGGCTCGTTCCGCCCCAGCACTGCTGGGTCCGCTCCTGAATCCGAAGACCCTGTCGGTGTGTGTGTGTGCGGCTTTTCCGTGTCGTCGTCGTCGTCGTCGTCGTCGTCGTCGTCGTCGTCGTCGTCGTCGTCGTCGTCGTCGTCGTCGTCGTCGCCGTCGCCGTCGTCGTCGCCGTCGCCGTCGCCGTCGCCGTCGCCGTCGCCGTCGCCGTCGCCGTCGCCGTCGCCGTCGCCGTCGCCGTCGCCGTCGCCGTCGCCGTCGCTGCTCCCTATCCGGCGCCCTCCTCCTCAAACGTTCCAGCCAGAGGGAAATCGAGCAACGCCGTAGTCGAGTCGAAAGGAAGCCCCTTTGATCCCTCCCCGGCCAGGGAACGGGTGGGTCCCGAGAGGGGGTCACGGGGAGGTCCCCAGGAGGGGGGGGGGTCCTGGGGTTTGTGACCTCCCACCCCCGCTCCCAGGGGGGGGACACCCCTCCCTGGGAGAAGCTTTCCCCTTCGATTTCTCGCCTC